TTTTCTTTTTTTTTTTTTCCTTTTTTCTTTTTTTTTTTCTTTTTTTTTCTTTTTTTTTTTTTCTGTTTTTTTTTTTTTTTTTTTTTTTTTTTTCTTTTTTTTTTTTTCCTTTTTTTTTCTTTTTCCTTTTTCTTTTTTTTTTTTCTTTTTCCTTTTTCTTTTTTTTTTTTCCTTTTTTTTTTTTTTTTTTTCCTTTTTTCTTTTTCTGTTTTCCTTTTTTTTTCTTTTCTGTTTTCCTTTTTTTTTTCTGTTTCCTTTTTTTTTTTTTCTTCTTTTCTTTTTCTTTTTCTTCTTTTTCTGTTTTCTTTTTTTTTTTCTTTGTTTTTCTTTTTTTTTTTCTTCTTCTTTTTCTTTTTTCTTTTTTCTTCTGTTTTCCTTTTTTTTTTTCTTTTTCTTTTTTCCTTTTTTTTCTTTTTTTCTGTTTTCCTTTTTTTCTTTTTCTTCTGTTTTCCTTTTTTTTTCTTTCTTCTTCTGTTTTCCTTTTTTTTTCTTTCTTCTTCTGTTTTCCTTTTTTTTTCTTTCTTCTTCTGTTTTCCTTTTTTTTTCTTTCTTCTTCTGTTTTCCTTTTTTTTTCTTCTTCTGTTTTCCTTTTTTTTTCTTCTTCTGTTTTCCTTTTTTTCTTTCTTCTTTTTTCTGTTTTCCTTTTTTTCTTTCTTCTTTTTTCTGTTTTCCTTTTTTTCTTTCTTCTTTTTTCTGTTTTCCTTTTTTTCTTTTTTTCTGTTTTCTTTTTTTTTTTTTTTTTCTCTGTTTTCTTTTTTTTTTTTTCTTTTTCTTTTTTCCTTTTTTCTGTTTTCTTTTTTTTCTTTTTCTTCTGTTTTTCCTTTTTTCTTTCTTCTTTTTCTTTTTTCTTCTTCTGTTTTCCTTTTTTTTTTTCTTCTTCTTTTTTTTTTTCTTTCTTCTTTTTTTCTTTTTTTCTTTTTTTCTGTTTTCCTTTTTTTTTTTTTATTCTGTTTTTCCTTTTTTTTTTTTCTGTTTTCCTTTTTTCTTTCTTTCTTTCTTTTTTCTGTTTTCCTTTTTTTCTTTCTTCTTTTTTCTGTTTTCCTTTTTTTCTTTTTTTCTGTTTTCCTTTTATTCTTTCTTCTTTTTTTCTGTTTTCCTTTTATTCTTTCTTCTTTTTTTCTGTTTTCCTTTTTTCTTTTTTCTGTTTTTCTTCTTTTTCTGTTTTTTTTTTTTTCTTTTTTCTGTTTTCCTTTTTTTTTTTTTCTTTTTTTTCTTTTTTCTTTTTTTTTTTTTCTTTTTTTCTTTTTTTTTTTTTTTTTTTCTGTTTTCCTGTTTTTTTTTTCTTTTTTCTTTTTTCTTTTTTCCTTTTTTTTCTTTTTTTTTTCTTCTTTTTTCCTTTTTTTCTTTTTTTTTTTTTTTTTTTTTTTTCTTTTTCCTTTTTTTTTTTTTTCTTCTTTTTTCTTTTTTCCTTTTTTCTGTTTTCTTTTTTTTCTTCTTCTTTTCTGTTTTCCTTTTTTTTTCTTTCTTCTTCTGTTTTCTTCCTCCTTTGTATTTTTATCATCATTTAATTGTCATATTCGTGGATATGAAAGGATTATGCTAAAAATAAGACATAATATTTGCAATTTATTTAATCAGACATACCTAAAAGAGAATTTGCTGCCTAAATACACATACATATACACACTCACATATATATATATATATATATATATATATATATATATATATACACACAGACACACACACCAATGCCTCCCTTGCATCTTTACGTTTTCTTTCTTTGTTTTTTTCTTATCTTTTTCCTTTCTTTCTCCTTTCATTCTTTTCCGTTTTCTCTCCGTCTTACATTCTGTTTGCTTCCTTTCTTCTACATCCCGTTTTCTTTTTCTTTCCGTTTTCTTTCTTTTTTTCTTCCTTCCTTTTACTTCCTTCTCCCGGTTTTCCTTTTACTTCCTTTTCTTTCTTTCTTCCCGGTTGTCTTTTTCTTCTCGATTTTCCTTCTTGGTATGCTGATCTTCTACGTAATTTTCAAGGCTACGCTATTGCACAGCGATTATTTGAGCTAATCCAATCATTCTTATCAAATCGTAATATGAAGGTCGTTCTGAGCGGGATCCTTTCATACGAACGCGGATGTTTCCCTAGGCTCTATCCTGTGTTCTACGCTCTTTCAGATCTTCATCAACGATCCTCCTAATATCATTAGTTCCCAAGTAGGCATCTATGCAGACGACACTCTCACTTACTCCTGTCTCAATAGTAAATCCGGCAGCGCTGACAAAGTTTTACTGGCCGCTGCGCTCGAATAAGACCTCCAGTCATTGGTTAACTGTGGCAAGAAATGGCGTTTAAATTTAGTGCCTTCAAAACTAAACTGCTCTCATTTCTGCCCAATATCAGCATGGTTGATGTTAGACTCCGGGAGATCGTCTCACTGCGTCTTCTTGGTCTCACGTTTTCGACTTGAGTCAATAGCTTCATCTACTGCGATGAAAAGCTGTATTTTTCTTATAAGAATCCGTCTTGCACATCAATCAATCGTCCGTGCATTGAATACTGTTAACATATCGAGTCTGGTGTCTCTGCTGTTCATCTCTAGGTTTTCTAAAAAAAAATCCAAAGAAGGATCTGTAATCGATCCTGACCTTGTATCTCAACTTCAGACACTTTCTCACAGATGTGATGTGGCTTTTTTTTTACAAATATTTTCATGGCAATTGTTCTGATGAGCTTTTTTTTTTCCTCATACCCCAACTACATGAATTTAAACGTGCTACTAGATTGGCATTTAGGTCCCACCCTTTTACTGTTGAAACTTCCACTACTACTCCAACAGTTTCTTTTCTCACCCTTCGACTCTGGAACTCCTTTCCTCTTACTTGCTTCCCTGATAACTACAAACTTCAAAAATTTAAATGCAGCGTCAACGCCCATCTTTTGTTGACGTGAACCACGTTCATCTTCTTATCCTTTCCTCAATCCCACCTATACCCAGTCTTTTTAGTCTCTGTGACCCTCGGCGTGCTAGTGGCAATCCAGCCTTGCTTAGGGTGAAATGCTTTAAAAAAATGTTTTCTTCTTTCCGTTTATTTTTATTTTTTCTTTCCGTTTTCTTCCCATTTATTCTTTCCGTTTTCTTCCCATTTATTCTTTCCGTTTTCGCTCTCTTTATTTTTTCTCTCTCTCTTTATTTTTTCTCTCTCTCTTTATTTTTTCTCTCTCTCTTTATTTTTTCTCTCTCTCTTTATTTTTTCTCTCTCTCTTTATTTTTTCTCTCTCTCTTTATTTTTTCTCTCTCTCTTTATTTTTTCTCTCTCTCTTTATTTTTTCTCTCTCTCTTTGTTCATTCCATTCTTTCATTAAATCTTCTTTCATATTTTCCTTCTGCTTGCTCTTTTCTGTATTTCTTTTTGCTATTTCTCTCAATATTTTTAAGGCTTGCGGTCAAATAACTTTGAAACACCGGTTTATATACAATCACCGGTGTTAACAAACGTTCGAACCTAATAGTACCTAGACCGCTTCCGAATACTAGTTGCTGTTATCTTTCATGTGGGAGATGTAGTGGATAACAGCTCGAAATCATTAATCGGAGAGCCTAGATGCAATTAATCTTGGGTTGACTTACGCACAAATACCCTTGGGAAAGGTAAGCATCCAACACCTCTGGGAAAATTTGTATCACTAAAATTATCGACAAAAATAATTTAAATTGCGTACAGAATACTTATATTAAGCAAGTGAATGACAGAACGTAGTCTGGGGGTGGGGGAAGCAGAAGGAAGGAACTTGTTGAGAGATAGAGGAAGAGGTGGAGAGCTATGATCACCTACGTCCTGAAAGGAGATGGCACATAAAAAGAAAATGCCGCTAAAATTAACCAACCAATCAACCCTTTTTCAGATTATTTACTGTTGGTAACAAAAAAAAACATAATTGATTTCTAGAAAATGAACTGATATCAATAATTCAACTATAGATGTACAAAGAATCGATAACGTTCGGTGAGACACTGTGAACAGTTCTGTTTACTATCAAAATAATGATTATTAAATAACGATTTTTTTTTTTTTTAGTTCTTTTCTCTGAATAAATCAATTTATTATGTTTATCTCTTTATCTATTTTCAGAGCTTGCGAAAATTCGCCATTTTTTTAATCATCGTATTGACAATTCGTTCGCATATGGTATGTACTTTTCAATTAATTGCCTAATACTAAAGTTCATCCTATACAAGGGTAGAGAGGCACTCAAGGTAGAGGGTTAATGTTAAAATTATCTTGGATGTGATATAGAGCAAAGAGGAGTTGATGGTAACAAATTAAGATTATGATGATCAGTGAGTTAGATAACGATTAAGCCTTGACTTAATATCGCAGTCTTCCATAAAACAGCAGGTCTTAGGGAAACCTTTTTTCTGAGAGGGTCTTTCTTACCTTACCTTTGGAACACAGAGAAAATGAGGTAGTTTCGATTCCGTGAAAGCAACATGCCGTGCCTTAGCGAATTTTTTCGACGGATGCAACGTTGCAAGCCTGTCGCTATTTTCAGATGAGTGTTCAGATGAGCTTTATTCTTTTGTTTCACAAGTTTAGACATTTCGTCTAAACTTGTCGAAAAAATTCTTCTTCCGCCACAAGGCTACATAAACGATACTTGGTGCATTATTATTCTTCATAGCTGATTCCTGTTATTTTTCTCATTATGCTATCATCCTTTTTGCGCCGAAACAGTTTACCTTTCTGTCTGGTGTCGCTAATAATTTCTTCTCAATGAGTTCGTGATGACTTTAAGAAGCCACCTCACCACGAACTAACATCATGCCTGTGTCAGAAGAGTTGGACATATACTTTTTCAATGTTTTTTGTTTTTTTGTTTTTTTAATCTAATTCACCCCATGCAAAGCAGTAAAGCCACTAAGGCACAAGAGGTTACTGGGTGTGAAAGAATTATAAAACAAAACATCATGAAGGAGCGAGAACAACAGAAGATAAATCAGGAGGACAGCAGATAACGATTGACATTGCATTTATATATTTCAAGACCGAAAATGACTGGAAAGCAAGAAGCCTGAAGAGATTCACATGCGAGAAAAGAAAATTTTAGCATGTAACTTACGGTTACATCTAGTCAATTCAACTGTAAATTGATGGGATCTTATTGTTAATCTAGTACCTCGCTTAAATTCGTAAAGTCTAGGTACCATAGCGAAGAGTGATATTTATTTGTAATTTACAAAATATAGCACAAGGCCAAAATGGAGGAAAAGATGCTATTCATTTGCCTTAACTTTAAACTCAGCTAGCCATAAACATTGACCCAAATATATCACAATATTCCTAACAGCAAAACAACGCATTCTTACTTAACTTTCTTACTACATCCACCATAATACCTCATTGTCTCTATGAAAGTCCCAACTCGTCTACATATGTACAATTCATTGTCTGGGGGGGGGGATAAAAAAAGAAGTTTTTACAATATGAAAACAGAAACTATTTACAAGAAACCAAATAAAATAATGTTAAGAATAACCCCCCACAGTCCTTAAATGTGGCAGAAACATTAGTTAACTGGACGAAATCAATTCGGGGCTTTAATAATATAAATCCACTATTTACATTATTCGGACTATTTTCCTCATCTTTGTCGCTATGTTTATCACGACGTCTTTGTCACCATGTTTATCACGACGTTTCGGCCGTTGTACGCTTCAGCCTTCTTCAGGTGGTTGGAATGTCGAACTGAACCCTTCATTTCGCTCACTGGGGTACACTGTTTTAGTTCCACGTGCCATGTTTAATGTCAGTTATCTTCTGTTAATTCCCCTCTGAAGTCTCTCCACTGCTTTAACCGGGTATTGAACTCACACTCTTTGGGTCCTGTGACTGGATCTAACCAACGCCTTCATCCACTGTGCCATGTCTCCTTGAGGACATCTGGGTATGAATTTCTGGGCATTATAAACCTAATGTCTTCAGCAATCATTTTTTTACCAGTGCTCATATTGCAATTTTTGTTTTTATCGCTTTTCTCTGGCACTCCTTATTACTGGTTCCAATATTGTATTCATTTCTATGCTTGATCGGCTCAGAAGATTTTTGTGGCTTAGCATATGTGCTGATTCCTTAAGTTTACGAATTTTCCACATGGACATGGCGACAAAGATTCGGACAATAGTCCGAATAATGTAAATAATGTACATAATACCTCATCTCAGAAATATAGACGGATTATTTCATTCCATGCACTCACTCAAACACGAAAAACACACCTGAAACGAAAGGCGCCCCGCATCCACCAGACAACTGACATTACTCACCACCTAACGAGGGAGAGGATGAGGAAATAAACTAAATGAATATAGAGACAAAAATAAAAGGAGCCAATGAGCATGCATAACCTAAGTTAACTGAATAAGCTAAAGATACTAATTTCGGGCAGGGTTGCCTAAGTTCAATACAGGACGAAAAATATCCTGATACCTAACCAGCATCAAAGTGCCACTACAAGTCAGCCCTCAATATAGTATTTCCACACCATGTCAACCTGAGAAGACGCAACGAGTAACTCTCTTGGAGGTTACCATTTAGCCATGCTGATGGAAGGCAGAAAAGGGTTTCTCGGGTGATTTAATAGAAAACAGTTTTGTTTTAGAAGTGTTGAAATTAACAAGACATTTTTTGCTCTAGTTAACAACAGGCAGTAGTTTGTGTTTGAGATTAGACTCTACTGTGCCCTTATCGGTCTGATCAGCCTTACTATTGAAACAGGAGTTAATGGATGCTATCAGGAAGGTCAGTGAGAAAAATCAAGAACAAATTAGGATCAAGAATAGAGCACTGGGAGACACCTGCATTAAATACGAAAGAATCAAGAAGAATCGCCGCTCAGGACAACTTTTATTCTGCGGTTTCATAAAGAGTTCTCAGTTCAAAAAATTCGTCCGGATACAAAATAACTTTTCAACTTGCTAAGAAGACCAGTATGCCAGACCCTGTCGAATATTTTTTAGACATCCAAAGCAACAGTCCGAGCCTCACCAGTCTTATGTAAAGCTTGATAGACTATTTCAGCAATGGTCGTTAATACGTCAGTAGTTGACCGAGAGAAATGTAAGCCATATTGCTTGTCTGAAAAAACAAAGTCTGTGTGATGTGAGATGCTCAACCAATTCAGTTGATTAGGGTCTCTAGCCAAAAAGTGGTAGAAGGCAAATAGGCCGATAGTTTGAAGGGTCAGATGTTTCACCTGAGTTCTTAAAGACTGGAACAAAAGATGTAGAGTTACAACAATCAAGAAATCAAGAGGCAACGAGGCATGGACGTGATAGAAACAGTAGCGACATTTGAAACGTTTGATCATTCTTAGTTTCATGACCAGATGTAGTCGTAGGGTCATTGATCATCAAAAAGTTTATAACATTTTACCTCCTCATATGTGTCGAAAGCCGGAGAGGTATTCGTCCATTGTGTAATGTGAATATGACAATTACACCTGGCGGAGCCCATCACTCCCTACATCAAACTACAGGCGATGTCTTCCAGTTTGAGGATACACTTTAATCGCAGACAAGTCGCAGTCGATTCCACGAGAAAAATCTTCCGCTGCGGCCGTCGAATTCAGTGCAGGAAGCCTCCGGTCGCGGCCATCGAGTTCAGATAGCCACATTGAGATTGGGCAAAAAGAGGAGCCATCCGTCCAAAAAGTTACCTCGATAGCAGTCGCTGAGCAGTATTGGTCTCGATTAACCTTCTTTAAACACGAAACTTATTTCCGCCAAGCTACTGATTATAATGGACGTAGTGATTAGATACTGTTTTTTTTTTTACTGTAGGAAACAGTTTATCGTCTCTGTTTAAATTTAGCATTAGAATCTACTTCAAATGAAAAAAAACTACATTGTGAGTCCGGCTTTGGATATGACGAGCTGGTTATTTGGACATAGTAAATACTGCTTTTACTGTAGGAAACAGTTTATCGTCTCTGGGCATTAGAATTTGCTCCAAAGCTATATATATATATATATATATATATATATATATATATATATATATATATATATATATATATATGTGTGTGTGCCTATCTAGGAATTTGAATTTCTGACCCTTTGATGGTTCTTACTCACACTGTAGTTTGTAATCATTTTTTTAAGTATCGTCAATGCATCCAGTTTGAAGCTTTTTTTGTCTCTTGTTTTAAATCTGAAAAAAAAAAACAATTGAAGATCTTTTGATCGATATATTTTAAAGACAGTTATTACTTAAAACCATTCTTCTTTTTATTGTTACAGAGAAACAGAGACTGGTTGCACGCTGACACTTTATTCCGTTCTGGCCTAAAAGTTTGCCCAAATAATGCAAAAGTAAGAAAACGTTTATTTCCTCTTTTGGTAAAAAATTAGATTACTGGCAATGAATATCACAACAGATTGTTTTTACGCAGTCATAAAACTGGGACACTCAGTAAAAATCAAGCTCATAGATGGTTTGGTTCGGTTTATTTTATGTTATGGAATATCGATCTCAATTAGTTATTTAATGCCGGCAAGACTTTGAGGACAGGTTTGCGTGATTAGAATATGGATTCTTTTTAAGAAATCAGTTTGTAGATAAGATTTCATTGGCCTGTTTTTGTAAAGAGGCTTTTTGCCAAGTCAAATCTATTGCTGGTAATCTTTCTTCTTTTTATTTCTTTTTTTTTTTTCCAAAATGTATTGCTGGTATTTTTACTATAAAAATCTATTATACTCTCATAGTGTTTTGACCATAGTTTGGGGGGGTAACAGTTTTCCCATATTTAGGACCCTAACAGGTGCTACCCCCCGGGGTCAGGGTGGACGTGAGAACAACAACAATTTATAGGTGATTCAACGCTCCTCAAACCTTCCGATCAGAGGCCTTGCTACAAAAATAATCCATGTAAATGTATACGTAGGGAAAAGGAAAAGAATGAAGATTTTCAATAATATATGCAGATTATTTGGAATGCACCATTTGAGTCGAACATTCTTGGAAAGGTGGGGATGCCATCCTGACTTATGATGAAAAGGGTGCATCGGGCTTTAAGAAATTGTAGGGTATTATATGGACTAATGTTATGAAATAGGTTTTCGTGTCGGGTATTTGGCTGATTTCGTTTAGCGCCATATTAACTTATGTAGGCATAAAATGTCGCTTCCGGCACTTGAGTTCGAACATAGATCGTCAGTGAGCAAACACAGGCGATCCCATTATTGAATCAAGTAGACCACATGACCATAGAAGAAAAGCATATATGTAGGAAGTAGCTGGCGACTAACGATCACTATTTCTAGTCTATCCTCTATACTATTTGGATTGCTATTTCTCTTCTATCCTCTATTACTACACGGACAGCTATTCTCTAGTCTATTCACTATACTATTTTACTATTCGGATCACTATACGGATTACTATTAGAGCGAGTATTATCGAGCAAGTACTATTAGTGCGAGTTTTATTCGAAGGTGCTTGACACCAGTATTTTTCGACAGCGTACTGTAGTTGTATCTGCGATTACAAAGACTTTACTACAACTAGCATTACGAAAGTGACAACGACTATTCGTTGGCATCACAAAACAACCTCTTCGGATTAATTAAGGTCTAAATCTAAATATTTTGAACGCAGTTAATGCCTTCAACTACAGATAAAAGATATTGTTTGTTTATTTTACTATAATTGTGTATTGCTAACAATTTTACTGTAAATATGTACGTTTATGCTTTCATAGTGTTTTTTGGGGGGTCACTATTTACGCATAGCTTGGACCCCCCTATCACTCCAATTCAGGGTGGATCTGGAAACAGCAGCAATTAAGAGATGGCCCCACGCTCCTCAAAACCTCCAACTCTCGATCAGAGGTCTTGCTGCCGGATGTAGTTTATCGTCATACCCAGGACTAGTAAGAGAATTATAAATAACACTTGGTATCATGTTATCACGTTTTCATGATACTAACAATGGTTTCCTTTCAGGACTTCTGCGAATGAGTAGAGCATGTACATGGATCCGCTGTACTTTACGAAATTATTTGTCATTCCTTTTGGCAAAACTTCCGTGTGACTGATTCCCCATTGACGACATCACACCCATCTTGGCTGCAACACGCATTATTACCTAATGCTATTAATGCCACGTCACTTATTCTAGGCAATCTTGTTAAGGAATTTGTATATTACTGAATACGTGTGCAAACATTGTTCGGTGAGGTTGGTTGATTTGACGATGTATTGTTATTTAATATCGAATGTTTCTATCGCGTACGCTGTAAAGATTTAACTCATCGCTCAGCAGTAATGATTAACCAGACTAATGTCACTAATCATTACCACATATCAAGGGCATATTTTGGGGGCACCTCGATGTGGTATAATGGTTAGCAAGCTTGTCTTGCTAGAACAATTACGACTGAGTATTGAGTTCGATCCTCACTGGGTGCCCCATACTTTCGGCCTTGTGCCACATCTGAGCTACGCTTGAAAAATCACTATCAAGGACCCTATTTTCGTAGATTCTTTCCTTTAACGATCATTTTTTTGTTTTTCTTTTAACTTAACCCCCCCCCCACGAGGTCAAGTTGTAACACAAGGTCGGTTTAATGTGGGGAGCCCGAGTACATACACCCGGGCTAAGAACAAAAATTGACCGAGCCCACGCAACCGTCGGTGGCTCTGGCCTCGGTGCGAACACTGATCCCTCTCTTTGGTGTAATGAGAGGGCGCGACCTCGGGCAGCTGTTCCCCGGGTCGGGCATCTCTCAGTATAATTTTCCCCAGTTGCGACTCTGCTCTTTGACGGAGCCGTCCCTGAGAGCACTCTGCCCAAAGACAGAGACGCAATTGAGAGATGATAAATAGGCTGTTACAAACTACTCGAGAGAGTAATTTACTATCATTTATCAGTGATGATCGAACTTACTCTTTGGTCGTAATGGTCAACAAGGTTAGCCTCTGAAACTCTAAACACTACGCTAAAGTATTTTCAAACATGTTCTCTATTTTGAATATTACACAGACCTTACTTACCAATCTACCCTATATTTCCAGTTTAAATTTTAGTAATTCTTATATAGAATCAGATAAAATGTAAATGGAATCGAATTAATTTAAGATATACTCTGTCCTGAACCAACCGTTTAAACAAAAACAGCCTAAGTAATTCTGAATGTAGAGCTACTGTTGTAGTATCTGTTCCAGCAGATCATGACCAGCTATGACAAGTGGGTGCCCACTCACGCGCAAGCAAGAGTTGGGCAAAAATTGACCAATATTTAACCAGTTACCCGAGTGTAAATAACTGACCTCGGTCAGAAATAAAAGCTGCTGACCCCTTCATGAAATAGTCAACCAGGTTGTAAATCTATAGATTGCTTCAGATTTGTTAATGGTGTCAAGATAAATGCAGGAATTTATGCTTAGTACTTGGACAGGGCATTTTTTGTGCTACAAAGCAAAATCTTTATGCTGAAGAATTTATTCCTGCAAGATTATACTCTTTCATATTCTGCAAACTTGACTACTGTCCTCCTTGCAAAAAAAAAAAAGATTTCAAGGGCTCCAAATTGTTATATTAATCCAATAGGAAATGTTATGATTCATTAAACAAATGTATATGAGAATAAAAAAACACTATATCAGCAAAGATCTTTATTAAAATCGAAAAAGAAGAAAAGCTAACAAAATCAATGATTGAAAGATTCATGACGGTAACAGAATGTCAAGGACCCAATGCAAAATAATAGAATAATGTATTCAAGTATATAAGATATGATATGCTCAGTGTCCTTCTGTAGAACAACATTTCTGTTGCTTGAAGTCTCTTCATTTGTCCATCTTGGGTAAGACGATAAACTACATCGGTGTCCTGGGTAAGACTATAAACTACTTCCAACAGCAAGGGAGGTTTTGAGGAGCGTGGGGCCACCTCTTAATTGATGGTGTTCCCTTGTCCACTCTGACGCAGGGTGGTAGTACCTGTTAGGGTCCCAGCTATGGGCAAATAGTTAATCCCCAAAACTGGAGTCAAAACACTAGGAAAATGTAAAAATAGGTTTTAATACTTGAAATACTTTGTAAAAAAAAAAAAAATTACCAGCTATACATTTTTGAAAATATTACCAGAAATAGATATTTTGGAAAAAAGAAATATTACCAGAAATAGATTTTTGAAGGAAAAAAATATTACCAGCAATATGTTTTTGGAAAAAAAAATATTACCAACAATAAAAATTTTGTCGGCATTAAATAACCCATTGAGGTTGATATGCCGTAAAACAAACCAAACGAAACCAAAATCTTCATCTGTGAGGAGATTGTCCAGCATTCGCTGCATTATAGAAACACCGATATCAGATATCAATTCAGTACTCTTTTGTAGCGAACACGCGTCAGTACAGACGCAAAAGAAGCCTCGGATTGCATGCGGACATGCTTGTCAACGCCAATTACATCCGGGGCAGTTTGCAATGTCTAGCTATATACGGGCCTCTCTGTAACTGGTCAAGATCCAGATCTTCGAAAATAAACCTTGTGGGGAAAACAGCAGTCAGCAGTTGCCAGGATACAGTGTCTTGATATTACGTGTTTTTATTTTTCTCCTGCTAAATTTGTTGTTTTTTTTTTTGTTTGTCTTTTGTTTTGTTTTTCATATGACCTATTTTGAAGAAGCAAATTCACGCTAAGTTTTTTTTGTTTTTTGTTTTTTTACGTGTCGCCTTTTTTATTTGGCAAGTTTTTGTTGAATGATACAGAGAGAAGAATGCGCATTAATATAATTATTCAGCACCAGTATCCGGTGGTAACGGATACATACAAATAACACAGAATAATAACTTACAAAACAATTAACAAGACAACTTACAAGGAATAGAGGAGGGTCAAATGTTGTATAGACAAAGTAAAATCACTCCGAATACTAATCAGCTTAGTATCAACTTATTAATCAACTGTTGAAGTCTTTAAATGTAGACTATTTAAGGCTATGAACCAAGCCATAGTGCTGAAGAGGTGCTAGCTACTCTACAACACAAGGCAAGCTTGCCTTCGCATCTTGGGTTATATCTTTTGCGTACAACTACACGTTCTGTCTTGTTTTCATTTACTACCTTTTGTCGGGGGGGGGTCCTTTCATTTGCTTTCCGTGTTTGTCGGCTATCAACCTTGTCGTCTGCATATGAGTGACTAAATAAACGAATCCAATTTTTTTCTAAACTAATTAAGACAAGATGAAAGGATTCGCTTTGGTTTTTAATTAATCTAAGATCGTTAAGAAGAAAAACTTTAATTAAAAACATGACTTATCATTCTGTTTCGAGTCTGTTTGTTTGGCGAGCTGCCTCCAACCA